GGGGGGGGCGAGCAGGCAACACGGTAAGAAAAAGCACCAATTATCATCAGTGCGTGCGGGGCATGGGGCAGGGATGCAGGCAACAAGATATTGAGAATACACCATACATCATACATATCCACCATACATCATACATATCGCAAACAACTGCCTACTTCCGCAGGTCGTGGGCAGCAAGCACAGCGCAGCCGACAAAACGCCAGCGGATGTCCAAAAGTCCCGGCAGCCGTTTCACACACACACAAAAATAAAAGGGAAAACGACACAACAGGGTATATACCCTGGTCGAAAAGCGACACACCTGGGTACACGGTCGTTAACAGCAGTAAATGCACTCATATCATTGGTCAGCGCCCAATTTCACCCCGGTGCGTCCGAAAAGGCGCAGGGTATACCCTTTCATGACTACTTTTCTCAATAACTGTACCCTAATTTCGGAAATGTACCCTGACCTGTCGGAAAATTAGACCCTTTCATCAATCATTTCCCCCGCAGGAATCTTCCCAACTCCTTTTCCCCTCCAACCATGGGATACCAAACGGCGACTCTTCCCGCCCAATAACAACCATGGCAACGGGGCAGGAATCAGTTTCCGCCCTTGCGAAACAACACCAACCGTCAACTCTTCCGCTCTAAATCAACAATGGCCGGGCAACACGTATCCCAGCACAATTGTTCCGTTTGGAAACATGCACACGCGCGTACGATACCCCGTGGACGACTGCTTGCTGCAGTCCAGACAATATGCGAGACGCACGGGTCACGCTGTGAAAGCGAGACCGATCCAGCATACGGTTGACATGCATAGCACGTGCCAGTGTGTGGCGCTGTGCTGGCGGCGAGCTCGCGCCCGCAACGAGGGTGGAGGAGAGAGGCAGGACCAGCACACACAGACCCGCCCTTGACATCAATCAAGCACACACAAGTCTTATCCATACTCTAGCAGTAGGACACTGCTGTGTCGTGCAACTCGATCACCCTCCCTGTCGATAGAGAGAAGAAAGAGAGCTCGCGTTGTATTTCATCGGTTCATCCGGCTGAAGCCTGACGTTTTCATACTACATTGATTGGTCGGCTTGGTCGGCTGGTAAGCGTAACTGCTGCCGCTACAGCAGTAGTTCAGGCAAGAAACACATCGCGATTGAGACACAACAGACAACGCACGCACGCAAACACTTTACATCGCAATTGAGACACGCAACAGACAAAACACGCACGCACACATGCATATTCATGTCAACCATGCTGGATCGGTCTCGCTTTCACAGCGTGACCCGTGCGTCTCGCATATTGTCTGGACTGCAGCAAGCAGTCGTCCACGGGGTATCGTACGCGCGTGTGCATGTTTCCAAACGGAACAATTGTGCTGGGATACGTGTTGCCCGGCCATTGTTGATTTAGAGCGGAAGAGTTGACGGTTGGTGTTGTTTCGCAAGGGCGGAAACTGATTCCTGCCCCGTTGCCATGGTTGTTATTGGGCGGGAAGAGTCGCCGTTTGGTATCTCATGGTTAGAGGGGAAAAGGAGTTGGGAAGATTCCCGCGGGGGAAATGATTGATGAAAGGGTCTAATTTCCCGACAGGTCAGGGTACATTTCCGAAAACAGGGTACAGTTATTGAGAAAAGTAGTCACGGCAGGGTATACCCTGCGCCTTTTCGGACGCACCGGGGTGAAATTGGGCGCTGACCAATGATATGAGTGCATTTACTGCTGTTAATGACTCTGTACCCAGGTGTGTCGCTTTTCGACCAGGGTATACCCTGTTGTGTCGTTTCCCCCCCCCAAAAAGCCAACCCCTTCCTTCAAGCATGGCGTACAACAATCACAAACACAGAGCGTATTTTCTAAAACAGAGCCAACTTTCCTGCACGCATGGCTTACATCTTGAAGTCGCTGTGCCCCCAAGTGCCCCGCGCATCGTCAAGCTTGATCTGCGCCACCCCGGTAGCCCTGAGAAACAAACAAGACCAAAAAAAGAAATGACGTCAGTGAACCTGCGCCGAGCGGATCAACCACGAACAGCAATGACATCAATCAACGGCGACCAACAACAGGCAGAACAGCGGATACATTCAAACACCCGTGCGCGAGAACAAGATACGTTCAAAACAAAAGGTAAAAAAAAACAGAACAAAAAATTGACAAAAGGCATACAGGACTGCAATTGTGGTGCCCTAGAAAAGCAAACGGTGCACAGGAAGCGCTAAAAATAGACAATAGGGCATACAGCACTCCATTTCTTGTGCCCTAGAAAAGACGATTGTTGTTGTTATCTTCACATTTAAGACCGTTCCGATCTCTCTCCACCCACCCACCCAGTACCTTCGTATGTCCGTACTGATACAACACTCGACGCGGTCGATTCCTGTGGTCGCAGAAAAGACGACTAACAACAACTGTATGATGAAGGCAACGGTGAACTATAGGGCAAAAATAAATCGTAGGAAACACAGACCAACGTTAAAAAAGGACGAAACAGAAAGCAGCAAAAACATACATGAATCCCAAAAAAACGAAAGCACCTGTACATTTCAAGTATACGTACGTCTGGCTCAGGAAGACGAGAGGGGTAGGAGTGCCAAACAAAACCACGTCGCACGAGTCGAAGTCGTTTTCGAAGGCCTCAGTCACCCTATCCCACTGCGCTGGTCCCATGAAAGTGCGGTTCTCCCACGAGGACTTGGTTCCCTGAGCCCTGATAGCATTAGAAGAAAAAAAAAAAACACACACACACACACACGAACGCGCGCGCGAGATAGAGAGGAGACGGGGGCAGTGGCGGGAGAGACAGACAGACAGACGGAGAGAGAGAGAGCGAGAGAGAGAGCAAAACGAATCCAGAATCATTAGTGGTCGTCGTGTGCAAATTTCGGACCTACGTGAAGCAAGCCTCCGGCGTGCTGACACGAATGATCTATACAGGCGAGACAAAATAACAGAAGCGCAGACTGAATAACACTGCTGCTGTCATAAGCAGTACAGAATAAACCTACCGCCGCGCAATGAGCGACAACCACGTCGTCAAGACAACCAACAGCACTTACTCAAGAGCAAGACAAAAAACAAAACAAAAAAAGTCCCCTACTCTCCTGACTCGCACCCCCCCCTTGTTGTATCCACGTCCCCCCCTCCTTCTGCCACACTGCTCACCTGTGAAGGCTGCGCTCGACACGATTGTCGGTCATGAAGAGCCCTACGCGGGGGCTGAGCTTGCAGGCGTAGTAGGGCTTGATACTGAGGTCGGTCACTGCAAAAAATAAAACAGGACCAACGAACGCCAGCAGAAGAAAAAAAGTTGAGCTTCGGTAAGCCTTTCAGAAACCTGGAATGCAAATAATAGCTGTTGTCCTTGTTGGTCTGTTTGTTTTGGGTGGTTTGGTCGTGGCAAGGCACACTGGTGCTTGTATTGCTTGTTCGACTTGGTAGTTGATCCCGATTGACCCTTGTAACTCCTGAAACAGCCTTGGGGGCGGCGGGGGGGTATTTCTCTACAACAACAGTGAGGGTTGTCTAATTAAGGTGGTGATGGAGCGGCGATAATGACGGCCTATATCGGGGCAGCCGCCGATACAGTATGTAAAACAACCTTGATCATTCCGCACGTGACGGCCAACTTCACCCGCTTTACATAGGGCGACCGCCTTATTCAGCCCGCCTGATGCGGGGACACCCAGTGTAGTGAGTTTTATCCAGAGACCGCGAGGGAGCTTCATCTTCTGCGCGCTTGACCACAACATGCGCGCGCTACACACAGCGATCACGTCGCCTCGTGTGTGATACACTTGGAGTATGAATGTCATTTGCTTCTATAATTCAGATGGAAAGTCCCAGATGGATACTTCGTCAGTATTTGTTGCTCCACATGTACGGCAATGCAACTATCCCGTGCTCAGGGAACATTCTCCGCGGAGTGAACTTTAGGACACACTTCTCGTCAAGCTCGTGCAACCCCGCCCCCCCCCCGCCGCCGACAACATCACTTAAGAACTCGCAAAAAAATATTTCTACGATCGTAAGAATATTGCGGACAGCAGAAAGTTAATCCGCGTTGAGTTTGCGCGAAGAACAAAAAAAGACAAGTCACTCGAGAACACGCGCCACCAATGCTACGATCGTAAGAATTGTACCACACGAACACGCGGCGCTTTACGCATACCGTCCAAGTCATTCGAGAACACGCTCCACAAAATGCTACGGTCGTAAGAACTGTACCAAACGAACACGCGGCGCTTTATGCATCATGCATACCGTCGCAGTCCTCGAGAAGCTGATGCTGGTACTCGTTGTAGACCTGGTAGGCCAGCGTGGCCACATAGAACGCCAGGGTGGATGGGTTGTGGTGGTCCGGCTCGTCTCCTGCAGAATTTCACGCATGTTATGAGGGGTGGGGGCTGGGGGGCGTACCCTTATGTTTTGCATGCCTTAGCGGTTAGACCACTGACCACGCGTCCTCGAGAGGACGGAGCATTGTTCCCACAGGACCGATCACCGATGGCCAATCGTTCTTTCCTACTTTGCCAAAGGTGGCTGTGAGGGGTGGGGGGTGATTGCAAAAAGGCAACGGTTGACCCGCGTGATCTTAACTTTGGTTTGTGCCCGAAGATAGAGGTTTTGTCTGATCGATCACGTGCCAGCATCGACGACATAATTTGGTGGTGTGCTACGCCAAGTGCGGAACCTAACCATCTTCTCTGGTCTAAAAACAAGTGCACTTTACGCCTGCCACTCTTGAGTCTTTTGCACACCGTATTTTCCATACAGCAGTTGCCATTGCCAGAAAACCAAGCATTGTTTTTTCTATTACCACACAACGAATCCATCTCTATCCACAGAACGAAGCTGGCCTCAGCCGCTGCCGCTGCTTGAGCCTTGCGAGGTCAAGAAAGAGGCGCGGACATGTGCGGCAACGCTCACCGCCACTGACAAGGAGCGCAGCGAGGTCAAGCATTAAATCCGCCAACTGCAGCAGCGGGACCAGGAAATGGAGAAAAAACGCGACGAGCAAGCTATGTACGAAAACTCAAGCAAGGGCAGCGGCTGAGGCCAGCTTCGAGTCTTCAGATAGATTAGCAATGGATTTTCCATACAGTACCAAGCTACAGGTTTATGCCAACAGGGAAAACAAGCTACAGGGGAACAGCTTCTCAACAAATTTGACACAAAGGCAGAAAAGAAAATCCTCGACGTCATGCGAAAAAAGAGAACCAATGCTGCGCATGCCACATATTTACGATGGTGTTGAACCGGTGATTATCCTATCGCACTTGGACGAAGCCTTCCTGTGGTGACCACGGACTGGCGGCACCTCCTACCCGGCAGCCATACTGTCAGCGCTGATTTTTCTTAACTTCCTGTGTATACGTCAAAAACCAGCGCTCACAGCATTTGTGCCGTTTAATCCCAACCCGTGGTCACACATAAGGGTTCCTCTCTCTGAGGCCCCTACCCACCCCTCCTGCGGTACTCCTTGCCTTGCTGAATGGACAACAAAAAAAAAAATGGGACCTCACCGAGATCGTCAGTAAACTCGTGATCATCGCAGATCATGTAGTTAGCCGCGCTCGCGAGACAGATGGCTGTAAAGGGCATGTTCCATGTCCTGAAAAAAAGACAAGAGTCAAACAAGTGAGCAATTTGCTAATTCACTCCTCGCAACATTAACGCTTGCTCCATTTCCGTTCCTCCCTAGTTAAAACTCGGCGATACTGGAAGCAGCAAGGCAAGATGTAACTTGCGAGGGAGTCTTCGAGAGAAACGGTGCAACGGAATGGCTTCATGGAATGGTGTTCCGCGGGAATATGTGAAACACGGAACGGAACGCATAAATACCACAAGACCACAGTGCGCAAAGGCCCCAGAGCTCAATGCATTGTCAACATGAAGAACGGCAACGACAATACCGAAAGTACCGACCACCAGCAGCAATTACAACAGTCACCCTCCATGACTACCGCTCCACACCTTTACCATTTGACTCACGTGCGGTAACATTCGCGGTAAAACTCGCGCACTTCCTCCTGGTGGTTGTCCCAATCCTCCCTCTGCAACGGCTCCAGCAGGGTCAGAGACGCGTGCCACGCAGACTCGAAGTCCTCTCCGCTCTCCCTGTTTTGCATAAGCAAATGGTCGTACACGCGAAGGAGCCGTGAACAATCGACGATGTACTATTGTAGTTAGCGGATAAGACTGACATAACTTGAGGTTGGGTAATATCGCCGTGCAAATCTCGTAAAATCAATTCCCCTTGCAGAGACAACGCCAAAAATAATCCAGAGAAAGACGTGGGAAATGTTATGCTCCAATACATATGTGTGTGTCTTCTGTGATACTAAAAAGAGTATTGAGTTCAACTACTGTAGTTTGTTCTTTGGAGCTTTAGGGCAAACATGGGACTACTCATACAATGCTCATTCGTGCCGTGTGCCCTCTCTCTCACTTGGTGCCGAACTCCACATCTCCGTAGACCTGATCGCCCAGGTGCAGGATGCAGTCCACGTCGCCGATCACCCTCGTAAGGCGCTTCCACAGCTTGATCTTCTCAGTGAGGGCGTGGTTGTTGCAGCTAACCCTGAGGTTGTTCGCGCAACGGCATGGGAAAGGGAAGGAAGGTTCGGTGCTGAAGAGACCGGGTGGTTGTTTGTTCGCGCAACGTAGAACAAGAACGAAAAAGGCGGGAACTGTTGTGACCGGGGGGGGATCGGGTACTGCTGAAACTCATGTGGCGATCTTCCACGGGTCCTGAGTGGGGGTGATATCTTGCGTAAAATATGTAGGGAGGGTACTGTGCATATCCATACCATAGTATTGGTTATGCAATTTCCGTGTCGGAGCTACTTTTCCACCGTAAAAACTCACGTGGCGATCTTCCACTGGTCCTGGTCGCGACTGGGGCATGTGAAGCGCGCCTCGCGAACCTCTTCTTCGCCGATGGTGACGGTAACGCGAATCCTCTTGCCCGGGGCGAAGTTCTCGAGCTGGAAGGCCGTCGGCGTTCTGGGGACGAGGTCCTGCGAGGGAGGGAGGGAGGGAGACCCGACGTGGAGGCATGGGCAGGTAAACACAGGGATATGAAACAATGTTCGAAAAGGAGGTAATAACCGTTACAATCCAAGACAAGAGAGAAGCGAATGCGACCAAAAATACAATCACCAAAAACAATGATGTCTCACGGAAAAAGTGGAAGAACAAGGTGTTGTAGTGCATGCGTGAAACGTTTCTCTTTTATCCTTGTAGCACGCGTACCTCTGCGCCGAAAGTGCCAACATGTAAACACACAAGTCAGCGAAACGCAATTCTCTACAATAGACCTCCACATCAATTCCGCGAAAATCCGTTTTCGGCATCCATGACATGCGTGGGGTTGGGTGATGGACGCTACCGGTTGTTCAGGCACTGCGGCCACCCCACCACCCGCAGTGAACGGTGATCTACCGTAAAAACACATTTGCAAAGGCCTTCACGATGGGAGCGGGTGGCAAGAGCTCCAACTTCGACACATTGTCTATATGGAACGAGTTGGCCACACTGTCGAACACCCAGCGCTCGACCTACCGAGGGCACGACCACATCGACGACGACAAACAACACCAAAACATGGCTAGACGCGAAAATAACGCCACACCTTGGCCACGGTGCAGACCGATTCGTCGTCCATGAACGCCTCCATGGTGACCGTCTGCTCAGACGCCACTTCAATCAGCACCCTGTTTGCATCCCCACGACAGCAGCATCAGCAGCAGCAGCAGCAGCGTTACAGGAGAGATAACAAGCACCATGCACAATACCCGGTCTTCCACCGGCCACAGGGGTTGGGTGGGGGGGGGAGGGGGGAGTCCTCATGCAAACGCATGCCGTAGGTATTAGATCTCGCATCTCCACCATGCCCGGATGGAGCGATGTGCCGTGTCTTCGCCGGCCCAGGCTTCGTTTCACAAGGATGAACCAAAAGCTGGTCGCTTCCGCCGTTTGCTGTACCAGATATGCTATCGGTTGATTCGGCATCCCAGCTAACCAAACCTGCAGGGGACTTGGCGGGGTCCATTGGGTCAAGAAAAGATCGCTGTTTACGACGACGCCTTCGCCACATGCACAACTCCAACAACTGAGTGTGTGTGGTACACACGTACCGCCCCCCCCCCCCCCCCCCCCCCCCCCCCCCCCCCCCCCCCCCNCGGCATCCCAGCTAACCAAACCTGCAGGGGACTTGGCGGGGTCCATTGGGTCAAGAAAAGATCGCTGTTTACGACGACGCCTTCGCCACATGCACAACTCCAACAACTGAGTGTGTGTGGTACACACGTACCGCCCGCCCCCCGCCCCCCCCACCCCGCCCACGATATGGTAAGACAGATCGTGAGGTCCCTCTGGGAACCAGTTACCTAAATGGTCCCCCGCTCTAACTGGTCTCGTGGGGGTGTTGTTGCTTCTTGGTCCTTCTTGTTGCTGTGGCGTTACTGCTGCATCAAAAATTGGGGGGTGAACTACTGCTGTAACAACGCATCGCATTGGTCTTACACCTCTTCCGGTAAAAACGCGCCGAGGATGAGAAGCACCACGCTGATAAGATTCGAATGTACAAGCATATATACTCCAAGAATCTTCAGATTCCATTGGCTGTTTTGGTCCCTGACTGGCATTACTTCTTGCGGAGTGTAAGGACCTACCACGCGACAGACGCACGAGGAAACCACGGCAGGTGCCGCAGATTCTCCGCTGCCCTCATCAGTATCGAAAGACTTAAACACATACATCCTCAGAGCATGACATATATCTGGAACAAGGGGTGCCCCTCTCTGTGGTGATGGGCATTTTTGTTGTTCCTGTAGAACGTTGTTTAGTTCTTCAACATGACACTGATGTCTAGCGAGAGATGCTCCCATCTTCGCGAAACAAATCAATCAGAGTTGAAACGAGGACGGAGACACCGCCAGATAAAACAAAACCAACAATTTAGCGGGCTTCCTTTGTGTCTTGAACATGCGACCATGAAGAACGTGGGTGCGCAACAATCCTACCGCTTCGTCGCTCGATAAAACCTGCTGTGCCTTTGCATATATGTTTGATGCGTACAGAGTTCGCTTATCTACATTGATCGACAGGCGAAATCTGGCACCGTGTGCACAACGTGCTCAATTAATGGCGACGATTTCATTGGCAGCCCGCGTGAGAGCGTCAGAGGCCGGCATGAGCGGGACAAAAAAAACAAGCAGGGCAGATGGCCCAAATAAACACCGCAGTGTCAACACAAAACCAAGTTGTGGGTGTGGTCGGTTGTTGAACGTAAAGGCAAGCATGGTAAATGAAGAGTAATAACAGAAAACGTCACCAAGCTGCTGCTGTCCTTGTAGATAGAGCCTGTTGCTCACTGGAGTGGAGATATCGCATGGATGCTGCTATTCTTCCTTGCTTCTATATTATCCTGGAATCTCTGATGCGAACTATTTAGTCATTCGGACAGACAGATGAATCGAAAAAAAAAAACAGGGTGCTGCTCTTTTTCTTGCCTTCCAGTTGTTTCTGTCACAGCTCCAACGATTGGTCCGACGAGGACAACGGCTCCGGAAGTGTGCCTTTCGTCTGGTGCCAGAATCCTCCACCGCTTCTCCGCTGTGTCGCGGCCGTAGAGCTTCCAAGGGCGGAGCTGCACCCGCCCGGCGGCGCTGCCGTGCTTCGACTCAGCCATACTTCCTTTGGATCGATTTATATAAGATGTACGAGCAGAGGGTGGAAAGGCGACGACAGAGGGAAGAGCGCAGAAAATAATTCACAAACCAATTTGGAATTTATGTGTGCAGACAACGAAGAGAAGGGGATAGGAACCTTGGTTGGAGTACTTGACTTATCAAGGTAGGCCTCATGGGACATGGCTAGAGAAAAGGCCCAACTGAGACGCTTAGCCTCTCATGGGCTAGCCTGCCGCTTCGAGCACAGTGTTGGTCAAGATGGGCTGGTGAATAAGTAGCAGAGACTGAAGCGGGTTGATGATCATGCAGCTGCTCACAACAAAAAATGACCCAAACTTCCAGCAGCAGAATCAGCGGCGACATGCCGGCGCAGACGCAGAGACACGCGCGGCTTTCACAAACGACACGACGCCCCTACCTCGCACGCCTGACAAGGACACTCGGACAGGCAAATGTGCTTCCGTTCGGGAAGTCAACAAGTGAGAACTTTGCACAAAAAGGTAATTTCCCAACTGCCGTCCACGACACGGCGCGCTCTTTCTCCCGCCGAGAGGTAAGGCTGGTGCGGGGTACGAGAGACGAAGCCGGGTAGATGTCATGGACGACGGGCGAACGGCTCACCCAGTGTGTGTTCGCCTCTTGCAGCAGAGCTGTCCGGATCCGCTGCCTGCTTGCCGTCGCCACTGCCGCCAATGACACCTGCTGCTGCTGTCGCTGCCGCGGTTGCTGCCGAACCGAGGGCCCCTGCTCCTGCCAAACCGAGAGAGAGCAATTTATCCCTCTTCCTTTGAGGGCCTTCCGACATGGTGAAAACCCTTTTATCCCTTCTTAGCCGTTAGACGAACGGTGGTTGACGTGGTGAAACGGATAAAACAGCGCGAAGGAGGCGCGTGCTGGGAGAGAGACCCGGATAGCACAGAAAGTTATGTGACCCCCAGCGACGCAGGAGGGCAAAGGTTGCTCGAGGAACAGCCGAAACCCGAACACCGAACCAAGTTTACCACGGCAGCTTGCTTGTGTTCTCTCATGCATCGGTTCCTGCGTCAGGCGTGCCCCCTGTACACCCCCCCTCCCCCCAACCTTCAACTCGTGATTTGTACAGCAGTATGAATTTTACTTTTTGGTCGATACTTCGGGTGGCTCAGTTTGGGTGTTGGAAGTGTAGAGCAGGTCGGCTATGACGGACCGTAGATGGGTAAAAATCGTGTTGCATTGATCGGGGGCGTGCTTGCTTGATTGAGCTCGTCGTCAATCGATCACGGCATCCAAGTCTCGCACCAAGCTCAAGCAAGAGAATCTCCATGAATCTCCACCGTTCCCGTTCCTCTGCACCGCGTCACTGCGCGATCGCACACAGATGTACTCAAGATACCACCCGTCACACCAGTGATACCATGCCGTACAGCTAGTCCGCTGCTTGTATGAAACGGAATGGACCCGCCCAAGATGGTATCTTTAGGCAAATGCTCAAAAGGATCAAAATACCCGTTACGCAGCCCCCCTGAGGGAACGTACACATATATCCACAGAGTGAGTTTTTTCTCGCTAATTGAATCCTGGTCTCCGTTGGAAGCGACGCGCTCCAAAGCTCGTTGTTAGTAAACTTGATCGACGTCGTAAGTCGCGAGGGAAGGGATTGCTGTACCCTTCTCGCGATAAAAATATCTCAGGCAGGAACCGCAGGAGGGGGTCCAACCCCCCCTCCTATGTGACCCCGGTTGGGTCGTCTAGCTGGTAGAAGTGGAGGATAGGGGCCAAGGGGCAGACGACAGAGTCCAATGATGAGAGCAAAAAAAAAAAAAACAGTCCTGCATCCTGCATTATTGTTAGAATCCCAAGAAGCAATCAATAAATATACTGGTGTAGAGCGCCCCCGTCCTCCCTTCTCCCCGCTTTCACTCTCCAAAATGTATGCGCGGCACACAACAGACACTAGTGCAGTAGAGCACAGCCAACCGCACACGCTCGCCAGGGATACATTCTCATGTCGCACCCCTAAAATCACACACATTCTCATCAGGATGGTACAAAAGAATAGATAGCCATACAACGCGCACCAACTGGCATATCACAATTCCAAGGCATAAGACTAGGGTGTCTAGCGGTCGCAATCTTGGGGTCTTCTCCTGTAGACAGAGAAGAAAGGCTTTCCGAACGGGAAGACGGTCGAACTCATCATCACGTATATATTACGGATAATGGTCTGTGCTGCACGAGAACAGTGTGAAGAGCACGGCCACCACTACTGACTCTACTCCATGCAATAGTATGCCATCACCCACCAAAAGATCTCTCCGGGTGAGAAAAATCAACAATCAACGATACGAACAACCTACTCATCATCGCCTCTTGCCTTCATTGCAACTTCCTTCGGGTAGGCAGCCAAGAACCCTCAACCAACCGGCTCCCTCCCTCTCTACTCATCGCACGCAAGCAACTCTTGACCCTCATCACCGTCCACAACGATTCACAGCGACCAACAAACGTTGTGCCAAAAACATTCAAACACGGCGCACCGGGGCCCAAATCTCTACACCCATGGCAACACCCCCACCCACCCACCCCATCGCATCATCATCGACGAAGCCGTACCCGACCAACCTCCCCCGTGCAAAATATTTACAACGTGCTGTGGTTCGAGACAATCGCAGATTGCTGCGCACACAGGAGCACACCCACTTGCGAAATTCCCGAGCAAAAAGTACCGAAAACCCGCAACCAACCGCCGTCTCCTGCCACCGCCCGTGGCTTACCTTTCAGTAGGAGTTCTATTACCCAAACATCACCATAAAAACTCTCCAACTCCGTGGTATGCACACATCTTCCCATACAACCCTCTTGCTAGCTGTCCTCCGTACTACAGACGAAGGCTGTCTTGACAATGGTGAGCGGCTGCACATGAACGGATGAGGTACGTACGTAGTTTCTCCGCTCGAGTGAGTCGCCACCGAGTCGACCTGCAGTGCCCAACAATCATGCCTTCCATACTCTCTCTCTCTCTCTCTCTCTCTCTCTCTCTCTCTTGCTCTCTCTTTCTCTGCCTCTCTTGTGCACAGCCGTAGGGGGGCGACGCCAATGCCAACCACAAATACAAACGCCCACCCCCCCCCAAGTCTCCTCGTCCACCATCACGCCCCCTCCCCGACAACGCCTCCACCGCCAATGCTCGCCGAGGTGGTGCTACCCGCCTTGGCCTCCCTCCTGACATTGTACCCCACCTCCGTGTCCAAGGAGACGCGGAGTTGGCGGCCCTCCCCAGGCCGGAGGTAGTACCTGTTGGTTGTTCAGGGGGGGGGG